GACTTCGTACAGAACCAACCAAATTACGGGACCACATTGATGTCACTGAACTTTTTATACTTGAATCACCCGCTCATTCATGTAGGCATATGAAATCCAGCTGTCTGCCAGGGCAGAATGAGCTCTAAGACTGAGCTACTGGTTCAAACTTTACCCTTTGGTGGAACCAAAATCTTTTAGAAAAATTCGGAGTAATTACCAAGTATGTGTTTGGTTACCCAATCGTTCTGAAAACTAAAATAAAAATAATAACCATCACACGGCACAGACTTACGTCATCATCATCGCTGTCATCGTCGAAATTCCGACCAAGGACATGACCATGAAGTCCGGAGGGAACACCGGTCAGCTTGAAGAGACAAGTTGCGAAATCGAAATGGGAATATTTGTTGAAAATTTATAAATAGTTACTGTGTTCCACAAACAAATCAATGAAGAAAGAGTCTCTCATGATAAATGTTGCCGTTCATCGTTATTTTTACAGTAGTTCAGAGTAGCCATTGCTTTAACAATGGAAAGTACTACGTTCCACGTTACACCACCGACCTTCACCAATAAACTGGCGCGCTTTCCACCGAACCCTAAGCGTAGCTCGTCTTGAAATGAAATACTAAGTGCCTACCACGGAGGTTTTACGGCCCCACTAGAATGAAATTTATCTCACTAAGACAATTTACTTGCGTTCATTTTCTATCCGTCCTCATAACATTTAGACTGAAAATGACCGACGGGATAGCGCCTCAAATCCCGGTATCATCATCATCGTGTTCGGCATATCTCACAACACGGACTATAGAGAGAAACGTGAAACCGAATCTACGATCACTGGAAACCGGAACAGTGTGTTGTGTGCCAAAACAGATGATGGGTTTCGGGGTGAGACATAGAACACAACATAGTTATCGTTGGCACATACACAAAGACAGACAGACAGACAGACAGACAGACAGACAGACAGACAGACAGACAGACAGACAGACACAAGGGACTAGCTGAGACTATGCTTCCAACTTCAAATTTAAATCTTTTTTTAATGCTTCATCCAACTAGGCTGTCAGAGGACAGCAACCAAAACCGATGCACAAAAGAGCACGATTAATGGTTGAACAAACCGAAAACTGAAGCTGAACGTGATGGTTGTGAATGCAACACATCACCGCAGTGTTTTACTCCTTGGATGTGAGACCTTGAGTTTCTGCTGTAGATTGACACCGAAGAGATTACAAAGTTGAAAGTAAAGTAGAAGAAAAATGAAGAATTTCAGTAGATTAAGGTTGCAGGTAGATTGAGACGATGCACGAGCAGAACGTTTTACGACACTCAGTTAAATCATTCAGTGTCTTTAACCGTTGGCTACAACGATCCCGACGCCGAGTCTCCTAGTCAACGTTTTCACGCCCTCGTGCCAGATCTTGTTTTGACCACCTTTGGCTTTGTTTCACTCAATACCTGCCTCGGCAAACAGCGCGCAACCTATCTGGCAACATGCGTTACACATGCCCCAACGAGCGTAATCTATGGAGGTCGACCACTTGTTCAAGTGGACAACCGTGATTACCGTGCGCCTAAACTTAGCACTGATCATTCCTTTTCCCCGCCAGACTCGTGCAATGCAACGTAGACAGCGATGTTCGAACATCGACAATCTTTAGCCAAGTCTCTGCACCCGATAGCAGCACTGGCCTGACTGTTGCAGGATACACTCGACCATTCACGGATAGTCGGAAGCCGTGACAGCGCCACAAATAGCTTAAGATAACAAATGCCAACCGAGCCTTCTGTATGCGCGCCGACACTTCATCTCTAACGCATCCGACAGATAAAATAATGCTGCACAGTTAGGAAAATTCACCTACTTCCTCTATTACTTCCCCAGTCAGGGTGAGGTTGGGTGCTGGACCAACCGAATGTTGTAGCAACATTTTACACTTTGAAGGTGCAAGACGCAAACCGAATATGGCTACGCTAGCACTCACACTATTCAGAAAAGCTTGCAACTTATCCGGATCTTCAGTTAGCAGTATGATGTCGTCTGCATACTCCACATCAGACACTCTATCACCTGAGAGTAACTCAATGTCACGTTCCTCGCACGACAAAAGGACTGTTTCCACAATCAAAACTATTAAAAAAAAATGTTAAATAGAAAATGAGAAAGAAGACAACCCTGACGAACACCGCCTTCTGTGGTGAACTTGGGGGACAAAAGTGCCAAAACCTCAAACCTGGCTTCGGCTATTGGTATCAAGAATTTGTAATATTGAAATAAACTATCTCTTTATATTTCAATATTACGATTGATAAAACACTCAGGATTAGTCGATAACTCGCAAAGTTCACAGAAACGTTGACCATTCACGTATGTGGCCCGATGATATTGTACTGAAATCAGTTACGCGGTTTGATTCGAACTGATGATCGATCTCCCTACAGTAATCCTTATGAAACAATCGTTAAATGGAATGCTTCTACCCGTCAGAGCCTGGAAACGTTCCCACGCGAGTTCATGGATCAATATTATTACTCGTGACCGATATAGAAGTGTGCAATGTAGGGTGCGATTGTTTCCAATTTAACGGTATATCCCTTAGAGAATGGTGACTCCTATTCCAACGGAAAAGCAGCTGAACGGGGGTTTCGTTGTAGGTAATAGAACTACGGAAAAAACACAGTAACAAGCTCGTGAGGATTTAGCGTTTTGGTGAAGCTATGGTGTTTGGTAGTGTTCGCAATGACTGAAGTTGTCAATGATGAGAACACGTGGACTGACAATGTATAATAATAATAAAACAAGCGTAACTGCATTGGGGCATTCACAGTTAGAACAGTACAGCAAATACCTCGATGTCGTGTATCCTCATTTTGTTCATAATGAACTTTGAACCCCCTAGAGCAATCAATGGACAAATGGCGCTCCTTAATGTCTAACTAATAGCTAAACCGTGTACGGTTGATGTCGATTTGCATATGGGTAATCGTTTCAAAAAAACGTATCAATAAACGACCCATACTCCGTTGATTCACACTGTTCTATGTAGAATCGACTAGTGTGTGTGTGTGTGTGTGTGTGTGTGTGTGTGTGTGTGTGCGTACGAATGTTTATATGCGCAAATATGCATCCGCCCGACCCCATCCACGTTCGTTTGCAGCCATGACAGTGAGATTCAATTTTGCGCGTGTACGAGGCCTCTTTCTGGTCGCCATTGCGTGGGCCTGAGCGATACGTGTGTGCATGTGTATTTGGGTGTACGGGGGCAGAAAGATCAGAGGGAATGTGGTCGCCATAGTACTTCGCCATTCCTCTCCTATACCCATCCCCACCCCCCGCAAGCAACCGGATCTCTCTCGTTTGTTGATGGGATTGTTGAGAGGCGGTAACATCTTCTGATCGAGGCGAAAATGATGC